ACCTTTTGTTTACGATTAGACAGGTATGACCTGAGAAAGTCTATTAGTGGACTGCGAATTCCCATAGCTTCCAATTTAATCAAGAGCCTTTTATGTGGCACTTTATCAAAGGCTTTACTAAGATCAAAATAAATTACGACAACAGATAGGTGATCATTACGAAGAGAGGTAAGTAGATCGAGAAACGACAGATGACATGTTTCACAAGAGCGATCTGGTAAAAAACCATGTTGGGAAGGGCTAATAACTTGATTGGCTATGCAAAATTCGGTAATTTCTACGGCGATAATTTTTTCGAAGATTTTGGCGAGAGAGGATGTTTTGTTGTTTTATCAAAGAGTTTGGGATATTGTCCGTACCTACTGAGTGAGAGTTAGGAAGATGACTTATCAGTTTTTGAATACATTCAGGAGAAAAATTAATGAAGCTAAGAGAGGCATCAGACAACGAAGGAATTAAAGGGATCGGATCAGTTTCAATGGTGGCAATCATTTTTAAATCTTGCTTTGGAGTTTTTTTTCACCCCTCGTTTTTTTTTTCTCATTTTCATTTTGCTTAACGGACTTCTAATCTCAAAAACTATGCATTGCACTTTGTGCAGATTTTGCCTACATCGTCTAAAATTTGCATGTAAATTTATTTTTACTTGCTTTGATGGGACCCCGACGGGTCTTTAATAAAATAATTGAATTGAATTGAATTGAATTGTAATTTTTCCAACTCAATGCGTCTTTCGATTTCTAGTAGACGCAGTTTGCTGAGCTCTATTTCAAGTCGCTGTCGTTCTAAATCTCTTTGATCTAAGGCGATTGGTGAAGCAGGTTGTGAGTGCAGCGACAGATCCGGAGGGCTGTTGTCTGCGATTTGCTCGAACATGTCTCGAATACCTTTGTGGTTGGTGTTCTTTAAACTCAGTGCTGTTTTATTCACCTGAATAGACGCACCCGAGGTCAGAGCTATGTCAGAAGACAGTCAGGATAACTCGGTTATTGTTTGTGGTTCTATAGCAATAAACAGTGAGATTAGCGGAGCACAATAGAGTTAATAAGGTGGAGAATAAATTGAAAAGTGGACGTACATTCGAGGTGATAAGACGAGCAGTCAGCGAATGACGCCAAGATGTGGTGGTCGGTTTATAAGCGAGCGGCAACAAAGAGCAATAGGCAATGGACAGGGAACAATGAACAAGGAATGACAAGAACCGACGAATAGGGATACAAAGACAAAGACAGGCGGTGTGCGTAAATCTGGTTACTAGCAAACGGTTAGTAGCAAAGTAAAGACAATAATAGAAATTGACATCAGGGATGTCACACTTGGTCTTATCAGGGGAGAGTCTGACTGCAAAGACTCCTTCTCAATGTGACCTCCGTGGCGCCCCCATCCAAGTGCGATCAGAGCTTTCCTCATATTTATGTCGAAACCTGTTCGTGAAGACACGGAAGGGATGTGTGCGGTTGCTTGGCTTTGGTATGCATTACAGCTTATTTTCCCTCCTGTCGAACTGACTCAGTCTTGTTACCGGGAACAGAGGGCGAGGGGCGAGACGGTTCCGTAGGCGCTGCTCACGTTTACTATCACAACCGACTAATTCACACGAAAGTAACCATCCCTGCATTTACTATCCTGCGGGTACACAGGTGACACTGTCGTTTTGAACTCTCAATAAGACGTGCAACGTTTCTGCTACCAGTTATCCGTTTTGGCATCCCCATATTTCGTCTTGCTCTCATGGACCTTTATTCTTTTCGCATTGCTCAAATGGGTTGAATTATTTAAATTCAATCATGGGAATTAGAAAAACATGATGTTGTTCGCTTCTGTAAATTGAGTAGTGCTTATTTCAGACTGTCTATCGCTTGACATTGCGCCTAATAGCACGCCACAAAATACCTGTCAAAGGCGTTTGGAATATATCTACCAGTTGGTGACAACTGGAAACTTCAGCTTTTGGTTTGAATTTCACACTCGTGCAAATACAATCAAATACCAATGTTCCATCCATATTTTTTAAATATTCTCATGCCCAATTCGATAGCACACAGTCAGCCATTAATTTTCTAGGGGAAAAATTGGCAAATGATCATATGTAGACTTAAGCTATAACCACTCGTTACGTATGCTGACTAGTGCTATCAAGACGGAGAACCCCAGCTACGCCTAGTGCAGCATATTACAACCGAACTTGTGGTCACCATGTCCATGGAGTTTTGTTTATTCCAATGGTATTAGTGGAAATCGGTGGGGCGCCGCTTTCAAAGCGTATGAAACGGGCGGTTTGAGTGTTTGCTATTTCGGTGGTGCCTGTTCCGTTACGAAATTGCTTTTAATCTATCCAGTCCGTTTCCATCGATGTATTTTTTTAAAATGCTGACTCTCATGTGTGCATAATGCGGCATGGCCTCTGCAACTTCCGACTCCGACTTAGTTAGCCCTGGACACGTTATAAAAGACAGATGGCGGGTTTTGAAGAAGATTGGCGGTGGGGGATTTGGGGAAATTTATGAAGCCCAAGAAACAGCAAGCCATGAGAAGGTTGCTCTTAAGCTGGAGTCAGCGCGGCAGTCGAAGCAGGTCCTCAAGATGGAAGTCGCAGTTCTTCGAAAGCTTCAAGGAAAAGAACATTTCTGTAAATTCTTTGGCTGTGGAAGAACGGATCGTTACAATTACGTGGTTATGTCTTTGCAAGTACGTACTTCTAATATCTTCGCGATCATATTTTAAATTTGTCTTTTTACTGTTGGTTATAAGAATTCTCATTCTTTTGTAAGAAACTTTATCAAGTCTCAAGGCATGTGAACAATTTGTTTTATGGTGCACGTATGTCTGTTAATAGGACGGAATCTATATCCACCACGCGAATTTACAGACATTGATTTTTGGTTTTACCGCTATATATCCATCCTCCTATACTTGACACAGTTAAATGACGTCTGCTACAGACTATTATTTCATAAACTGGCGAGGCGGGAAAATAAACCTGGTCTTTTGGATTTTTTGACAAGTATAGTTGTGTATCATGCCTTGTCCTGATAAAACCCATGCACTCTATTAACTTACTGTCGCAAAAACCCTGGTTTCGAATCGTAAGTACTAAACGGTGACTCGTACCATCTTGTATTAAGGAGTCTTGGTCATGACAGAGGTCTGCGAGAGCGCACAGGTAGGGAAGTGGCGGGGGCAATTGAACTTGACTACGTTGGGTTCCTCTTAGGCACTTCTGACTGCAACATCGTTGGTCACTAGTGTTTTGGAAAGCACTATACTTCCACCGTCTGTCTTAATTCAGGATGGACTTTGCGACTCCTTACGTAGTCTTTACAGTGTAGATATACGCCGTATGAGATAGCTGCTTTCTGCACTTTCCAAGCAAAATGAGTGAACGTCCGGTTATAAGAGAGCTGACGAGAAAAACAACCGATCATCAGAATTAGCTCCCAGCTTTTTATGCATCCGCCCGCGTAAAGAGTAAACTTGCCTCTCCGTATTTGACAAGGACTTGTGCTTAGTGAATAGACAACTGAAAAATCAGGCTTAGCTGACTTATGCTCCTTAACCGCATTCCAACACAAACACTAACAGTCGTCTTCAAGATACTACTGTTTTTCTCTTCTGAAGTGGTCTAGTACGTCTGCATCCTTTCGTATCTAGTAAACGCACGTGGGCTGCGGCGACTATCACCCACAAAGGCAGGAAAAAAATCGTGTGTAGCATTACTTATGAAAGCCGTCAAAAAATTTAACATGCATTTTAGGTTTGCTTCCCTTACGGGTTTGCTGAGCTGACGACAAGTTAAAACAGCGGTTATTGACTGCCTTAGTGTTCAAAAACACAATTGTCTCCGATTCGTTAGCAAGCAAACAGCCCTTCTTATGTGCATACCGTTTGTCTAGCTGGTAGGTTAGTTGACCTTACAGATA